CTTAAAGGACTTAAAAATATTATAAACATCAGTATTACAATAATGTATGGAAGTCTGCCCGATTTGTTGACATTTATGATTACTCATCCTCTGCCTTGGGTAATAGCATGATGATATATAGCCTATAACCTTCCTCAATAAAAATACTATCTAATGCAAAAATAATTTTTCAAATCGTATTAGTAGTTCCTGAGATTAGCGCGTTCAAACAAACAAACAATCTCTGTCTCTTTATAATATTAATAGTATAGAAGTATAGAAGAGCAAGATTTGATTTGACATTGTACAATATGTCGTGCCTTTGAATATTATAGATACAATCAGCAATTTGGTATACATATAATCAGTGTAAGTCAGAGTATAAGCTTACCTTTAACTTGGAGGCACTTTAGTATAGCTATAGAAAAAGTTAACACAGTGAGTGATATCATACTCTGGTTCATGATTACAATCTATTTAAGGACAATGTATGCCCATTGCCCAGTACATAGTTGCAAACGCCGCACTTTCTCTGGATTACGCGACCTTTACTAGGCAGTTCTAGTTTTGTCTGACTCACAACCAACCACGACCGTAAATGATGACTACTTTATTAATGATACTTTGAAAATATATTTCATATATTCTCCACAGGGAGCTAAAATATACAGCAGGAGTCAACACTCTTGGACTAATTAGGTCAACGTATAAAGCTCGATAAAACTTTAATAAAGGAAACATTAATTAAGAGCGTCTACAATAAACAGTAGAAAGATCCTTTGTTCGTTTAATCGGCAATATCTGAGTGTATAGCACTTTATATGCGTATACTACCAGAGTACAACACAACTGCCTCGGTGGTGTAGTGGCTAGCATGTACGGCTGCACACCCGGAGGTCCTGGGTTCGAGTCCCGGGTCGGGCCAAGTTTAGTTATTGAGTGTTTCACCCCCGTGCCTCGGAGAGCACGTAAAGCCGTCGGTCCTGCGCCTTAACTCTCACTGGTCGTGTCGAGTGGTCGTCCCACCAGAGTATGAGAGTGACAGGAATAGAGAGTGCACTTGTGTCTGCGCGTACACCTGTGCACTATAATATCTTCTGCGCAGTTGGCTAGTCTCAATGAGATTGGCCGCCGTGGCCGGAATCGGTCAGGAGAACATCATCATCACAACACAACATTGTCAAAAATGTTATTGTTTTATGTATCGTAGCATTCCTTAACAGTTTATTTAATTTTTCTGTATTAATTAAGATACTATCTCTACTCATCCACGTGAATTGGCTTGACGACAACTGCAATTGGACCTCTTATAGCATTAATTTCACAAATTTGTGCCCTATTATTATTTAAAGCCTAGATCAAGTTTCCTTTATTATATCTATTTGACGACCGTGACGATCAAACATGAATATGTGAAAATATATCGCGTTAGAACTGACACCCAATATGCAACGCAAAAATTTGTCATCAGATATATTAAATTCTCTGTACAGGCTACTTATGATTGACAGCCAGCAGTCTTAATAAACCGAACGTTGACCTCGATACCGCTGCGACTAATCGCAGAGCAGTTTAACCTAACCGCACCGTAACCGTAACTTATATTCGCGACATTGACACAACATTGGCTTTCACATTTTATTTGGAAAAATCGGAAATTACTTTCACCAGTAAAATCGTCTAGCTGGACGACTGCCAGTGCCGCATTCTTTGCTATATGAAATTGTTATCCTACAAAACGTTGACGTCTCTTGATGTGATTGAAATTGAAAGCATTTGTAGAAACGAGACTATTTGAAACTGGTTTTATTTTGAATAAAATTGCATGCTTGTTAAAGAATTTTAGGAGTATTAATAAAGAATATTATGACAAAGTTTAAATAACTTAAGTACTTGAAATGTTATATTTTTTCTCGTTTCAAAATATTTATTTTTATACATTTTATAGATTATTATATACTTTTTAATATTAAAGATTTGTTACAAAATTATGTACATGTCTTTATACACCTGTATATGATTAAATAAAATTTCTATATACTTTGACAAATCACAGTAGACACAAATCAAAACCTATTATATAACTTTATCGATATTAACTGGTTCGCCTACCATAAAGATATAATGTGGGAAATATGATTGGCGTTTTTATTGGCCGTTAGCATTATTAATGCTTTTTCTTCGTATAGTGTGCACGATTTTTAGAAGACATGCTTGTTATTTGTCTATAAAAATAGATTGTAAGAAAATAATGTATTTTAAATTATAACATATAGATATCGACTATCAGCTGGTTTCGTAACCTACATTTGAACAAAAAAAATACAGTGGTTCGTAATTTGCAAATCTTGAGTATTGTGGAGTTAGTGTATCGATTGTAAAGTTGTTGCGCGACGGTCGGCACGGCGACGTCCTTGGCCAGGCCGTCTCGTCTCTCCCCCTTTGACGTCACGTTCCCACCCCAGCTGACACGCGGAACGGAGCATTAGTGACGTCACAACTTACCTCCAACGTATAGATGCATTAACTGGTTTACAGATTTACCGACAGAATAGCGGTACGATAAATAATTTAATATTCTAGGTTTGCTGTTACGTACTAAATAAATTGTAATTATTATTAGAAAAATCGAAATTTATTATATATATATATATATATATAAATATATATATATATTTATTATATATATATATATATATATATATATATATATAAATATATAATTATTATATATATATATATATATATATATATATATATATATATATATATATATATATATATTATATATGTCATTGATACCATATAGTTGATACACTACATATATATAATTTTAAACACATACATATTACATATATATAGTATATACCCTAGCATTGCCGGCGGCTCCGCCCGCATTTCGATGACCAAAAACCGAATTCTTAGGTTTTACATATTAGTATACTCTTACATTACAGTTTTTGTATTTTTTCTCAGAAATGAGACATTTTCCCGCGGTAATAAAATTATAACTAAGCCGAATCTGTACATTAAATATTTTTTTGAAAATCTTATTGAAATAAGCATTATTATCGATACAGAGGCCGAATTTTATAGTTTTTAGAATTTTTATCTGTCTGTTACCCCATCACAGAAAAACCACTGGAGGGATTTTGATGAAATTTGGTATGGTGATAGCTGGTTATCCGGGTCAACACATCGGATACTTTTTACCGCGAGAAAATATCTTATTTCTGAGAAAAAATACAAAAACTGCAATGTAAGAGTATACTAATATGTATGTAAAACCTAAGAATTTGGTTTTTGGTCATCTAACCAGGGGGAGCCGCGGGAAATGCTAGTTATAAATGTAAACACCCATGATTGGAGTACAAATATTCGTGCTTATCACACCACAAATGAATCATCACAAATCATCACACAAACAGGACTCGAACCCGCAACCGCTAGCACAGCAAGTCGGGTCACAACAAACTGAGCCAAACGTGCCGTCATAAGATTAGAACCATTAAGACGATTATTACTAAGAGTTCATGCGCATTGGAACATAATCGTCTCAGACATGATAGGAAACTGAGGCCAAGTGATTTGTATCAATTTTCTATCAAAGTATTCGAGGTTTCTAGGCTGTAATTAAAATATCCTAGCATACAACAAATACGGAGGCGGGACAAAACCATTCATTACTACCAGAGAGGTCATTCAGTGTGAATCGTGCTCTCACATTGGAACATTTGCATACTTATCGAAATAACATGAACTAGACTTGAATGAACAAAAAAGCGCTATCAATATTTAAAGATAAACAAAATCTAATACGTAGTTGGAAATTCCGAGTCGGTCAAGTCTTTTTTCGAGGTTCAGAACGACACACATGTTTTCAAACTAAGTTTACTTTTACAACGTTTATGGTATTATAGTGGGAGTAAAAATGTATCCCATCGTAATGAAACAACGAAATATCAATTTACTTAGTTCCATTGCGGTTTGTGGACGTGTTTGCGACAACAATGAAATGGCGTCGAATGAACAGGATGTGGAGCGGTGCGACGACCGCGGCGCCGACGAACTTCACTATCCCATAGGAATTGTTGTTCAACAGTATTAAGTAACGGATTGACATAAGGATTCCCTCAGTTTACGGTTGAAGCATAATTTATTTTTTGACGTTGGTATTTCAATAAATATAATATTTTACAATAATTAAAAGATTGAAGCGTATACCATGTCGCGATATATTCACGGACATACTGTTTACTCATTGAGATGTTCTGATAGGGTCGTTGTCACCCGACGCATCGGCTCAGGGGACCAACGCATTGTTCTCGCTCCAGGGGGCACTAACCCATGTGCGCCGTTTAGATATGGACGCCGGTATACGACAAGTATACACCACGCGCGTGAACGTAAACAAAAAAGTTTACGAAACAGTGTCGAGATAAAAACCGTCTAGTGTTGCGGAAGATTCCTTTATCATTCATTCACCTATGATTAATTATTGTATATTTTTTAAACACAATTCTTCTTTGTTTAAAGTATAAACAAATTTTGAATAAGGAATAATTAACAGTTGAATATGAAGTGTGCGGCTTCCCTCCACTCACTGTCGGGGAACTATTGTTTGTGATCACACGACACATTATTTAAGCGTGCCGGAGACAAACACGAGGCGTCTGCACGTAGATAAGCGGTTGAAATGCACAGGGATACATACATGCCTTCAAGAAACAGTGCTGTTTCGAAATATGTTTAATGTCACCCCTTATCTTGACAGCTTGCTTAAATTATGTTTCACAAACTACAACAACGTTACGACACTTTCTTCTTTCACCTATGTGTTTATAGCATGTTTAACATTTAATTATTAATTAGCGCTACACACTTAAATATCATATTTAATGCAACCAGATCGGGCTATTTAAAAATAATAAAAAAAACTGCGACGAATATTTGCGTACTCGCACAGTATTGAACACAGAACAAAACACAGTAAATCTATAACTACATAACTGTTATATTACCTGAAACATATCTGTGTCTGGATCCTCTGTATACTCGACGATAACCGCTTGACTGCGGCTGAGTGTGTACGAGATTGAGTGTTGGCTTGCATCGAGGATAGCTTTACTGCTATGCGGTGTCTTCACCACATAGTGCTTCGATCGACGGACGCCGTTCGCCTGTGGACGTCGGTAGAGCACGAATTTGCTACGACGACGTCCACGTTCTCCCGCGGGAAGAAATCCATTGTACCTGTAATAAGATTTGAATATATTGCCTAATTTTTGACCGAGCTTAAAAAGCAGGATGTACTCTTTTTACATTTGTATTTTTATGGACACATTTTCATAATTATTTTCTTAATGAATAAGTTATATCTACCTCAAGAGTGATCCCAAATAAATTTTAAATCGATATATTATTGTACTTAAAACGGTAGGATTGGACAGATTTATATAATAATTCCATATAGATAGAAATATAGCAATTATGAAGATAATCAATTAGTCTCTACAAAATAGGGTAAGCTTAATTTGATCCTATCAACATTTGAATGCCGTCATGCGTGTAAAACGGCGAGCTTTTACCAATGCCCCGAAACCGTATGTAATTTAATTAACTACTTAAATCATAGTAACTAAGCAATGCATTAGGTAGTGACAAGGGCTGACGAAGCACTCCTGATTAATTAGTTTTTACGTATTTACTTAATTCGTTTTTACGTATTATGTACCTATTCGGTATAATGTATATAGAGAAATTATTTTTTATAGAGAAGTGAAGAGAATGAAGAATAGAGAAAATATTATTAATTTTCATAATCTACAATGTAATTTTAAAACTCGTACAATCTTCTGATGACATTATAAATTCGAAACAAAAAAAAACAATTTGTATCGGTGCATATTTGAGACAAAAATTTCGTAAACATACAAAAAATATATACAGCGTAACGGAGGTCGTCCACTTTTTTGTTTTAAAGACATCATCTTTGGTTTACTAATCTTATCATACCTACCATGAAAAGATACCTAGTTTGTTGGCGATATGCATACGAATTTCAAAGTTTATTAATCGGGCCGTCTTTGCCGGATGTCCATTGAGACCACAATGACGTGCATCGACGAGTGATGTCATGCATCGTAGTTTGTATTTAACTGTCATAACAGCGTGAGACTCTAACGGCAATTCCTATACTGTTTTTATATTTTACTTTGAACCGAAACATTACTGTGGTGGCAAGAAATAGTACAATGTCGATTTATTCGCGTCGCATGAGAAGCCGAGCAAGTGCAGCCTTTGTATTATTGTATAACTTGCCGTAACTTGGTTGACATAACATGTATATAGAGATAGATGTCTTTGGGAATCCGTTGATGGAAGATAATAATAGAAACGTTTGTGTGAAACAAAATAAAAAAAATGTAATATTCTGTTATTTTTACGTAAGGTTAACTGATTAAACGGTTTTATTTTATAGCTTCACTCCTATTATACATAGGTCTCATTAGATCTTGTAGAGCATAAGTCCTTTGTTTTCCAAACAAGATCTGTGTCCGTTCACAATGCAATATTCATATTATTATAACTCCAGCCTCCGAGTTGGAAGTTCAGTCCTGATGCTGCAAGAATCCTCTTACTCTACTGCCTGCTTAATGTTTACTTACCGCTTGCCAGTTAACTGGCCGTCATGAGAACAGCGCAAAAGTAAGATGCATATGAGAGTATATTTTTTAAAATACATCCATAATAGCGGGAAAACCCGCTCACGAGCTTTAACGCGTAGGTAAATAAATACCTTTTACATGACATTTCGATTACAATGTGAGACATTGAGAATTTAGATTTCCGATAGTCTTATAAAATAACAAAGTTTTTTAGCATTTAATTTTTTTTTTTCTTACCGCCGAAGCATTAGCAATTGACTATCTTTTTGCATTCCCTTTAGTAACTCGTTCGTTATTTATTACCTACTGATCTTATCGTTTATATATAATAAATAGGCAAAGATAAAAAAGTTCAGTACATTTTTTCCTCTGTTTAATAGCTATTTCCTTTTTTTGTTTAATAGGTACTGACGAACTTCAGCGTTATCAATAAAAGAGACTTAAGTATATAGATAGGTAAATTCTATTCATATATTATGTTTTCCTCAAATGTATTATCTCAATCCTCAAATATATTATGTCCCATAATTGATTAGGGCCGAATTTCGAACACTAGGTGAAGTCCTAGTATTATTAATATTTGAAAAATGTTCTCATACTTAGACTTTATTCAAATAAGTTTCAAGTCTCGGACGAGAGCCGATCCAATGGTGTTCATCTAACTTCCCGTAAAATCGAAAGGAAATAAGGATAAATAAGCATAAGTTAAAAATAATAATAATCATCTCTGTACTTTACTCACCATCACCAATCTACGAAAATTCAAAATCTGTATAACTGGCAACTATAGGTTTTAAAAAAATTATTCAAGTTTGATATAATTTCATTGCTATGTGAAAAGACGACTTTCAGTCTTCATGTTCACGATGTTTACTTAGAATTAAATGACCGCACCAAAAAGTTGTTTCCCCTAACTTTGCAATTATGCGTATGCCGTAGGTAGTTTGAAACAGAACTTCCTTAGTAATTGAATTAGTTGTAAATTATATAACCCCTGGAAAGCCTCACGGGTGGCATAATAATTAGAATTGATTTAGTTTTTATTACAGACACCCAGTTATCTGCACTTTGCCCACATTCAATTAAATGGAATTAGCTTCATTTGCACATATATATTTTTTATTGCACAAACAGTTATTAAAAAATTATAATATACAGAAAGTGACGTGGACAAAGTGGACTTAATTCTATAAGACATCTCTTCCAGTCAACCATTGCATGTGGGAAATGGTGTTTAACAGCGGGCCATAAAGAGAAAGTGTAACGAGACAATAACAGAGTATATAAGTATAAAAGCATAAATAAATACAATATATAAACAAATACAATACATATTTACACTAAAATTACATACATTTATAAATATATAGATATTATATAATAACTACATAATATGTAAATACAAGTATATATAAAACTCTATAAATATTAAGTTAATAAATAAATAATAAATATATACATAAACATACACACATGATTGCTAAATAGAAATACATATTATTCAAGTTTGAGAAAGAAACTTTGGTATCTTACGTATTTCCTATAAACTTTCATATATTGTATGTATTACTGTACATCGTTAAAACGTTATTATCAATTGACTAGGGACTCACCCTCGCTCCGCTCGGGTTCATCCCTACTTACGTTTTAACGTTTAGTATAGATTTCTCAGAGATGATTCTCCGAAAGTATCCTATATGTTGACCCGGATAAGCAGCTATCATCATACCAAATTTCATCAAAATCCCTCCAACGGTTTGTCCTTGATGCGGTAACAGACAGACAGACATACAGACAGACAAAAATTCTAAAAGCTATAGATTCGTCCTCTGTGTCGATAATAATGTCTATTTCAATATTGATTGATTGTCCAAAAAATATTAAATGTACAGATTCAGCATAGCTACATTTTTATTATATGTATATATAGATTAACTAAAATATTTACAAAGTGGAATAATGATATCATATTTTTTAACTATATTATATTTAATATTCTGTGATATAATTAGTCTCTATCATCTATATGTATTTAAATAGATTCATATAGATATAGAATAAGGTTAATTTAATAACAAAAACCAAAGGGCGATCAATCTCGTCCATTACGGAAAATCAATTTCACGCTTTTACCGCAGTATTTCCGTCACGGCCGTATTGCTTTCAAGTAATTTTGTAAGGATGGCTTGTGGTGTATTGGAAATTTGTACTAACTTAAATCACAACATATTAACTGTACAGAGTAAAGATTTAAAATATGTACATAATATTGATCTGAAAGGCAACTAAAGTAAAAAAATAATTTACATTTAACATATTAAATAATAAGAATACGCGTGTAAGTGCTAAGAAATGATACCTAATCATGGTATCAATTTAATAAATATACTTACTTACTCCCCTAAATATTTGGTAGCGTTTTTATATGTATTTATACCATGTAATATTTACAGGAATTCGGGCTTATTTACTTTAAATAGAATATCCAGAAAAATAAAATATAAGAGATGTATCTCAAATTAATAGAAGCTACGGTAGCGAAGTAAATACCTTATAATTTCCCTACTCAATATGACCAATTGATGCTTTATAGAATGTTACTCTTAATATAATCAATTGTAATTTAACTTTCAGATGTCGCTTTTTGGTAAAATATTTCGATGTTTAGTAACTTGAATGGAATTAGTAGCAATAAAAATCATTGATCACCGTTAATGTACATAACTTTAATGTAATAAAATGTAATAAACGTTAATTTACATAAAATTCACGGAAGACGCACAGGTAATAGCTTTTATAGTAACACACGATATGAAAATCGGCATCAGAGCGACCTGTCAAAACAAATAAACAAAATAATCTGAATACGTTTTCAAAATATGTATATAACTCAGAAACAGTAAGAAATAGATAACATTTCCAATAAAAGCTGTAGGAATTTTTTTTATCTACTTAAAGTAAAAAAGCCAATTACTTTTTTTAATGATAAAAAACCAATAAATATGGCTTTTTAAGTCATAAAATTCAATGTTGCTACATTTTTGATATAATATTATTAGAAATATCAAAAAACTATTCTAAAATAATTAATTGCTACTAAGCCTGGCAAGGGCTCCTAAGTAAAGTAGAATTAGAAATATATTATCCCATCAAAAACATACTGTAAAAAAATTGCAAGTCTCGCAACGTATTTTTTCTACCGCAAAAAGCTATGAGATATAATGTAAAACCAAGTCGGTTAATTTATTCATTACCTATCTATGGAAGCATCTATCCGACAACTTTGTCATAAATCGTTACCGAATTAGTTAAGTTACAACATTTTATAGTGACCGTATTAATATTAGATATATTTATTTCTTTAATTAATAGAATGGCTTGGCCATCGCACGGAAACAAAATCACATAAGAGTCTACTACTTTAAATAGTCCTAATTAAACATACCATGACCAAGGTGGACGGACGACTTGGTCAAAGTCGCTGGAGCCCACTGGATACGGATGGCACAAGACTGGTTGTCATGGAAATGTTTGGGGAAGCCTATGTCCTGCTGTGGACGTGTTTGAGCTGAGATCAACTGAACA